ATCTCAGTTTTGTCCTCGAGGTATTCTAATGTAATTCAAGTTCCTGCTGTATGTCACGTTTCACAACAAAAGTACATCTCTTTAAATCCCGACTCATGTCATGTATTCGCATGTCAGTAGGTTTTATACCAAAATAAATAAAATCAAGATTCTGTTGTGATACGAAGCAGACTGTTTACCATAAAGTGAACACAAGCGATTTCCGTTCATGTTATAGAATGGAGTTCAAATTGTTCTGTTTTTGCGTATTTATGGTATGAAAAAAAAAATGTAATGTGTTGCACCCTCATCAATGAAACAAATGTAAAAAGTTCCAGCTATCTCCTCGCTTTTGAGTAAAATGTCCCCCAGTGTTATTTGTTTATTTACGAAACCTTGCATTTTCATTTTTGGGAAGTGTGTACACGCAAGTGACGAAGGGCAAACAATTGTTCACACTTGGTTCTGTTTCTGGGGATTTTTTGCTTTGATGGTGAATAATTTTTTATCAATCTTTGAAAGATAAATAGATTTTTTTCTTTCAAGGTTACTTCAGGAATTTGTAATTTTAGGTACTGTCAGTGCTGTTAGAATCATGAGCCAATCAGTGCAATTTAAAAGGTCGGGATTTTCGGGGGTTATTTTAGTGTTAGATAAGGTTAAATTTACAGAATAAATCTTTTGGAAGTCAAGTGAGAGTAGGCCCTGGCTTATTTGTCCAGCATCCAACATGCTTCCGTCTTTGTCCCCCGTGCGTCTGTCAACATCATCACGTTGAGACCACTGGACAAATAATGCTTCACATGCTTTTTCCCACCGATGATGACCCTCAAGTTTGTTGAAGATGTTCAAATCCAATTTTCAAAATGGCTGCCACAGCAGTACAGTAGTATCTGTTATTGGCCTTACTGTTCAAAATGTGATGCAATTTCGTGTGTAAGTAGTTATAGGGCTCAACACACATGATCTGTCCCTGGAATTGATATTGCTGGATTATTGCTAAAAGCAGCATAAAACCTTACTCACTCACTCATGAAGCTGTACCCATCACAAACCAACATGCTAACCAACATGTACAGGAGTAGGAAAATGGCGGAACTGTTTTCAACAGTTTGATTCTTTAAAGTTTCTGGAAATTAAAGGGAATGGTTTGGTAGCCTAGTGGTTAAAGCAAAGATCCAGGTTCGATTCTCAACATGGGTATAATGTGTGAAGCCCATTCCCGTTTTTTTCCTGTCATGGTGTTGCTGGAATATTTCTAAAAGCATCGTAAAACTATTATCACTCGTCAGTACTACATCGATGCTCTTGGGTTTCACCAATGTGTTAAAGGTCTGAAGTACGTGTCTTGATACACACATTATACCAAATCGTGTGGAAACTTCCAAACTATAAATAATTCAGAGCAGACTCAAAAGGAAAAGTTGTAGAAACATGTTCAAAGCTGTTAATTTAATTGAGAACTTGAAATGCAAATTGCCAGACATTTTACAATACCTGACTAACAAACCACTAGAGAGTCATTGAAAGAATAGCAAGTAATTTATCTAAGCAAGGGTTTGCTGATATGGATCCAGTAGGTTTGTATGTTTTTTTCGCCGCTTTTAGCAATATTCCAGCAATATCACAGAAGGGGACACCAGAAATGGGCTTCACACATTGTACCCATGTGGGGAATCGAACCCGGGTCCTCAGTGTGATGAACGAATGTTTTATCACTAGGCTACCCCACTGCCCCGATATCGATCAAGAACAGAAATATTATGCATATACAGTGAATGAGTTTAGTTTTACACCACACTCAGCAATATTCCAGCTTTATGGAGGCGGTCTGTATATAATTGAGTCTGGACCAGACAATCCAGTGATCAACAGCATGAGTATCTCCGCAATTGGGAACCGGTGACATGTGTCAACCAAGTCAGCGAGCCTGACCACCTGATCCCATCGTCTCTTACAACAAGCATGGGTTACTGAAGATCAATTCTAGCCCAGATCTTCACGGGTGTTATGCATATAGAGCATAATATTTTCACATGAAAACACATGATGCACTTTTCCACCAATGTATCTTTTCACCCCAGTGTGAATGTGTGTCTTACCGACATCGGTGGGAATACTTTAGCCTGTTTCTGCCAGCTGACGCCACCTGTTCCTGCTATTCAAGCAGAAAAAGAAACATGTTTTGGACACCTTATATGTATTGATTCTGTAACACAAGATTATGTGTCTCTAAAGGACTACATATTCTTTTGACAACATCACACTCTGTCAATTCTATTTGAAAAGTATTTCAATATTTGGACTCAAGTTTACCTATAATCACCAACACATTTCTTTATAAACAGAATTTTCAGAAAACCTGAATGTTACAAATACGAAGGATACGAACTTATTTTTCTCAGAATTTGCTGAATTTTACAGATTTCATTGATGGTGATCCATCATTGACAGACATTATAGAACAATTACCATGGATACTTTAGATCACAAGGGAGGAAATTTCAACAGCTTCATTGCGTCAGACGATTTTGACGCTACTCAAGTGTACTCAATCACTGGGGAATGTTCAGTCGGCGCGCCTTTGATGTTTTAATGAAACACCTGAGAGTTGTATATACAGTGACTTTAGCAGTGTGTCTGAAGTCAGACAGGTAGGATTTTGTTTGGTCTACTTCCCTCAACAAAATAGTCTATACATCAACAACAGAGTCTACACCTTTATACCTTTAACATGGCATATAGCTTCAAGCAAGTGTGAAGAACTCCTATGTTATTCCTGAATACAAACAGCAGCAGTGAACACTCACACAATATTCACACACCACTCACACAACACCCACACAACACTCACACAGCTCTAATCAAATTGAATCTTGAGGTTTTGATAGCATCCCTGACACACAAACACTTCCCTGCAGCCTAATAACCCATTTATTACCACATGACTGTCATACAAAAATACACCCTCTAAGTTTTGAGATGCCCCCCCCCCTGCTTGTAAGGCAAGCAAATGTCAATGCTTTCGGGGCAGAGAGTGTAAGACTTGGACTGTCAATACATCCAACCTTTTCCCTGCTACCTGGATGTTAACGAGTTTATCAGGATGATGTTCTGGTCTTTACAGGTAGGTCATCTATATTCTCCCCCGAATAATGAGCCCAAGGAGGACCTAGATATCTGAAGGTAGGGTCCAACGATATTCATCTCAATCCCTTCCTTCCACTTGTATTTGATCACGAAGGTCACACAATGCTCTCATTGTAAAATCATTCATTCCGTGGGTTGAGCAAGGTTTCCTGCATGTAGTACAGCTGTTGGAGGAGAGGCCATTTGTTACACTGTTCTGTTTGTTGTTTCAACGACAATGGCTGAATGATTCATGGTAAATGAGGCTACGGTACAAAGGTGTATGTCGCTAGCCATGTGTTTGTGAATGGCTACTGGCCCCACGAAACACCTGTCATACCACGAATACCTTGACTCTGCTCGATTGTGGGGCGAAAACAGGTGAATTGAATGGCTAGCGTGCAGGAGTTTTTGTATGTCACCTTTAGATCGGGATATATCATCATGTAGGTAGGATATATCTGTCTTACTGACGTGGGCCTATTTTGGGACAACCAACCTGGATCTCAGGTAGAGGGATTTAGTTTTGTACTGTTTGTGTGGGAGACACATTTTAGGGCTTTGTTTTAGGGAAACGAAATCGTTTTGTTGAAAGTGTTTGCGGTTCTGTTTTGGTATACGTTTGTAAAATAATCTTTTGACTTGTGGATGTGTGTGTATTAATCTATCAGTATTTGTGAAAGTATATATTTTTTGTTGAAATATGTTAGTGTGCAGTAATCTGTTTGTCTCTCAGTCTGTTTGTCTGTCCATCCATCTGCCCGTCTGTCTGTCTGTCTGTCTCTGTTGTCTGTCTGTCTGTCTTGTCTGTATCTGTTGTGTAAGAGATAAGTATTGGCCTTTGAGTGCAGGGGTCTGTCTGTCCATCTGTCTGTCCATCCGTCTGTCCATCTGTCTGTCCATCTGTATCTGTCTTGTCTCTGTGTGTTGTGTAAGAGATAAGTATTGGCCTTTGAGTGCAGGGGTCTGTCTGTCCATCTGTCTGTCCATCCGTCTGTCCATCTGTCTGTCCATCTGTATCTGTCTTGTCTCTGTGTGTTGTGTAAGAGATAAGTATTGGCCTTTGAGTGCAGGGGTCTGTCTGTCCATCTGTCTGTCTATCTGTTTCTGTCTTGTCTCTGTGTGTTGTGTAAGAGATAAGTATTGGCCTTTGAGTGCAGGGGTCTGTCTGTCCATCTGTCTGTCTGTTTCTGTCTTGTCTCTGTGTGTTGTGTAAGAGATAAGTATTGGCCTTTGAGTGCAGGGGTCTGTCTGTCCATCTGTCTGTCCATCTGTTTCTGTCTTGTCTCTGTGTGTTGTGTAAGAGATAAGTATTGGCCTTTGAGTGCAGGGGTCTGTCTGTCCATCTGTCTGTCCATCTGTTTCTGTCTTGTCTCTGTGTGTTGTGTAAGAGATAAGTATTGGCCTTTGAGTGCAGGGGTCTGTCTGTCCATCTGTCTGTCTATCTGTTTCTGTCTTGTCTCTGTGTGTTGTGTAAGAGATAAGTATTGGCCTTTGAGTGCAGGGGTCTGTCTGTCCATCCGTCTGTCCATCTGTATCTGTCTTGTCTCTGTGTGTTGTGTAAGAGATAAGTATTGGCCTTTGAGTGCAGGGGTCTGTCTGTCCATCTGTCTGTCTATCTGTCCATCTGTCTGTCTATCTGTCCATCTGTCTGCCTGTCTGTCCATCTGTCTGTCTCTGTTGTCTGTCTTGTCTGTATTTGTTGTGTAATAGATAAGTATTGGCCTTTGAGTGCAGGGGCCTGTCTGTCCATCCGTCTGTCCATCTGTATGTCTTGTCTCTGTGTGTTATGTAAAAGATAGGTATTGGCCTTTGAGTGCCAGATGTTCCTCCAGTCATGTGTGGAAATAGCTCCATTTAATTTTTTCAGTTTCTTCCACACCAATATCACGTTAGTATTGAGGGTCATGAGTCATGACATGACTGTGACATGACACGGAATTACTCATCTTGGTAACTTTTTTCATTAAGTCGTTAAGGACAATCTCGATGAGAATAGCTGTAGTGTGATTGTCTGGAAAAATTCCTTCAACTGTGACGAGAATAGAAGCACAGGCAAGAGGTGATGCAATTGTAGAATGATGCAGGGATACAGGCATGGTGCCTGGAGGGGATGCAGGGATACAGGCATGCGGCCCTGGAGGGGATATAGGAATATAGGCATGGGGCCTGGAAGGGATACAGGCATGGGGCCCTGGAGGGGATGCAGGGATACAGGCATGGAGCCTGGAGGGGATATAGGAATATAGGCATGGGGCCTGGAGGGGATACAGGCATAGGGCCCTGGAGGGGATGCAGGCATAGGGCCCTGGAGGGGATATAGGAATATAGGCATGGGGCCTGGGGCCTGGAGGGGATACAGGCATAGGGCCCTGGAGGTGATGCAGGGATACAGGCATGGAGCCTGGAGGGGATGCAGGGATACAGGCATGGAGCCTGGAAGGGATACAGGCATAGGGCCCTGGAGGGGATGCAGGCATAGGGCCCTGGAGGGGATATAGGAATATAGGCATGGGGCCTGGAGGGGATGCAGGCATAGGGCCCTGGAGGGATATAGGAATATAGGCATGGGGCCTGGAGGGGATACAGGCATAAGGCCCTGGAGGGGATGCAGGGATACAGGCATGGAGCCTGGAGGGGATGCAGGGATACAGGCATGGGGCCTGGAGGGGATACAGGCATAGGGCCCTGGAGGGGATGCAGGCATAGGGCCCTGGAGGGGATGCAGGCATAGGGCCCTGGAGGGGATATAGGAATATAGGCATGGGGCCTGGAGGGGATACAGGCATAGGGCCCTGGAGGGGATACAGGCATAGGGCCCTGGAGGGGATGCAGGCATAGGGCCCTGGAGGGGATATAGGAATATAGGCATGGGGCCTGGAGGGGATGCAGGGATACAGGCATGGGGCCTGGAGGGGATGCAGGGATACAGGCATGGAGCCTGGAAGGGATGCAGGGATACAGGCATGGAGCCTGGAAGGGATGCAGGGATACAGGCATGGGGCCTGGAGGGGATGCAGGAATACAGGCATAGAGCCTGGAGGGGATATTGGAATATAGGCATGGGCCCTGGAGGGGATGAAGTGGTACAAGCAGGCAGGGATACGACCATTGAGCCTTGGCCTTAGTGGAGTAGTCCAGAGGCACAGAAATAGATTTGTTGAGGCATGGGGCCAGGGAGACAATTGACAATTGGGAGTTAATTGATTGTGTCAAAATTAATCATCCACGATCCATTGTACCACTCCCTTTTTATGAAATGAAATAATAACATAGGCAACCTGCTGCTTAAAACTCACTCACTCACTCTTAAGATGCAACAATATATGACTAAACAGAGCTCCAGATAAGATTTAGCTCATGTGGGTACTGTACCCACTGTATTTTTCCGGAGTGGGTATTATGAATGTTGAGTTGGTATTTCATTTTCCGTTACCCACTGCTTTCAAATATGTGCGTATTTCAGTCATTTTACTTACCTAAGTATTATGTCATTGAGTAAGTTTACTAAGCAGGTATGTTCTGCCTTATGTCATACCTAATCAAAACCAACTTAAATATAATGGAAATGATTTCATAAAAAATCACTCATCTATGCTGACAGTACAACACTAGTCCTATACTAACAGTACAACTGACCCGGGTTCGAATCCCCACATGGGTACAATGTGTGAAGCCCATTTCTGGTGTCCCCTGCCATGATGTTGCTGGAATATTGCTAAAAGCGGCGTAAAACCAAACTCAGTCAGTCAGTCAGTCAGTACAACTTGATAGCAATCGATGTCTTTTTCATTACGCAAGCGATTTTTATAAATATATTTTGTACGCATTTGTTTTAAACGTTTTGCGTATCTAACATTTTAAATGCGTAATTGGTATGCAACAATTCTTTTTCAATGCATAATTGGAAATTTTCTATACATATTTTACCCGAATACGCAGCATATCTGGGCCTCTGAGTAAAGATACAACAATATATAGTTGACTCACAAAAGTGGTACAATTTCTGAAACGTCTTGGCATTTAACCATAAAATTTATGATTGAAACACATTTCACCATTTGGCATTTGGAAGTAATCTGGAGACAGGTATTCAGGAGATGGCAAATGTCAGTCAGTGTTGTGTCCGAGCCAGGAGTATGTGCATGCGTTACACAACCCATTATACCAGAATTAATGATGTTAACTAAAGAAATAAATTAAAATCATTTGCAGGTGTTTTCAAGTTTAAGTTATTTTTTTGTGCATGCGGCATGTTAAGAAAAATGTTAATAACCGAAAGGCTCAAAAGTAATGATGTATTTAATCAAAATGACAGATTAAGAGACTCTTTCTTATGCTAATGGTTATTTTAACTTCTTGTTATTGATGACTATTGTCAGGATCAATAGTTTTCACAATAATCTGACGACTTTGATATAGGATTATTTAGGAAAGAAACAATGCCTAATCATTAAAATTGGATTTTATTGATGTTCATGTTGCCATGGCTACTGCATGCATACCAGTTTTTTTTATGTTTCTGCCAGTAATTGTTTATTGCTGGATACAAGAGTTATGTTTGATTTAAAAAGTATTTTATGCTCCCTGTTTAGAGGGAGACTGAAATGAGGATCAGATGGACATAATGGCTTCCAATAATGGCAACTGTGCTAACACCTTACCAAAACATGAAGACGTCCGCATATACTAGTATTTAGTCTATCAACTGATAAAGAGAAAGTAACCCTTGCTTTCTCTGATTGGAGAGTTAAGACCTGTGCATATGTCTCACATGATTACTACCGTAATATATAATTACCCTTACACTGTGCATAATGACGTTTGTGTCTATTTGAACGGTGTCTGCACAGGACGTCGACCCTTGGGTGAAATGTCACGGTTCAGTTAAGAAAAAAGGTTGACGTCCTGTCCATTTGATCTTATTCCAATTAACAGAGGATTAGAAAAGACAAAGAAATAATCCAGTGTTTTCACAAGGCGATAATCCGGATTATGCGGTTGAGAGCACAGACAACAGGAGAAAAGTACTATATTTCGTCCATTTTATTTCATATACAAAATCATCCAACATGAAGTAGATGAGATGCACCATTTGCAAACTGGTTCATCTGAAAGATAGTAAAAGTAGATTTATTATTTCTTTTTACACATTATTTTACACAGACCACGTTACACCACTCTACTGCTATATATAAATTGTTAGAATTGTTAACAAAATCTATTAAACGATATGCAAAACATGGTCACGTACATTATTCAGATTTGATATATCTATTTTACTTTTATATTTTCCTTAGTAACAGATTGATATCAGGCATTGACAAGATACTTACCTTTATGTCTACTTGGACACAGGGATAAGCATGGTCGACTTTCACCATCGTCACAATGTCATTGACAGTTGCCGCAGTGACATTACACTTCTTTTCTGTGCACTTCCAGGATATCCAATTTCGCTTCACTCATAAATCCACCAACACACAGGTATCTTCCACCACGAGATGTAACTGTGTATTTGCCATTTCGAAATTGAATGCAATCTACCACGTGTTCCTTCCTTAAATATGTTCATCATTGTGAAATACACTCTCATATGTATGATAACATTGATGACATATTGAGTGAACTACGTGTCACGCCTTACGCGATGCTCCGGTTATGGAAAATCTTAAAACAACACATACTAGCGGATTAGCGGGACTCGAGCAACGCCTTCAACATCAAAGTTTACCACGGGTCGACTTCATGTCCATAGCGAAATTTCAAAAGGTCGACTTCTTGTCCATAAACCACATGAACATATATAATGAAGATCTGTGTTTACATATTTCCAATATTGAACTTCCAAAGAAATAATGATATTCTTTATGCAAAGTGAAGCCCTGTGGATATGTCTAACATTATGACTGCCAGAGATAATTACCTCTACACTGTGAATAATGATGTTTGTGTCTATTTGAAGTATGGACAACTTCAGAGTTTCTGGCACTTGCTTACTCCACATATAATGAAGACCTGTTTAATGGCAAATAAATTGCATTGCAGTATATTGTGATTATGGTACTGTTATTCCCATATGTATTGGACCGCCTCCGTGGTGTAGTGGTTAGAGCGTCCGCCCGGAGAGCGGAAGACGTTAAGATATGGTACTTGTTGGTCCCTGTCTGGTGCTCGGCATTAATGGGTACAACAAGGACTGGTCGGCTCGTAAACTAACCTCACTCACTCCTAATGTATGTATGAGTATATACAAATATAAATGGATTGGTAATGATTATGTTGCGTTGTCTCACAAATAATACAAAATTGGAATGATGACCCAAAAAATAGTGATATTTTCATCATACTTTTTTCGTACAAAAATCTTTTTACAAACATAACCAGCTTCACAAATAAGTTTACGTATTTGCTGAACTTGGATGTCATAGCAATTCAGGGTAATTTACACAGTATAATTAGTTTACGCACACAATAAATGTTTCCTTTTTTTTGTTTGGCAAGCATAACAAACCTTAACTGTTACAGCGCTAATGTTGGAAATCTACAGCAAGTGCAGGAAATTAGATCTTTGTTTTTCTATGATTTCTATGCTTATTTGCAGCTTTCGTTACATGCTAAATGTTTGTGTCAAGGATTGAATGAGCAGTTGCCCTTGAATCTGCTTTCCATTATGCAACAAGATGTTTTGTCTACAATGTAATGGAACGTAAGATTAGTAATTATGATTTACGGGGATGCACCTTTTCAGACTCTCTTGTGGAGTCGTTTTGTTTAAAGGTGAAGGTCTTCTAAGGATGCAACACTATAAAGCTTGTGTTCCTTAATTTTTGTGTGTAGTTTATTGTACAAGGTATTTCTCCATTTTATTTCACTTGTCTAAAGTGTTTTCAACCTGGTCCATCCTGGTTCATATACAAGGGAAGAAATATCTCCGTCTTTGGAGACTGAAGCATCAAATTCAATTGAGGCAAAACTTGTTTCTTAAATGGTGTTTTAGGTTTGATAAGCAAGTTTTATGAACAAAGTTTTTTTATCATGGAAATCCTTTTTAAATCTTGAGCAATTGTTATTTTCCAAAACTTATCAATCTTCCATAAATAACAACAGCACCATCGTTGATTCTACCATTATAGATCATCAAGTTTCTAATGTGTTGGGGTTTTTTCCATAAAGCCATTTTATGGCAGTGTAACTCCAGTAATCCTGGGAATCATAGGTGCTGCTGTTGTATTAGGTGCTAGAATACATTGAACAGAGTTGTGTCCCTTTTGCATGCCAGGAACCTGTTCTCATTGGGGTTTTGCCAAAATGATCTGAGACCGGCATCACTTGAGATTTCCTCCCCCGTTAATCTGACACGTTGCAATATAACTGGAAGGCTGTGTAGCATTAAAACTCACTCACTCACTCACTCACTCACTCAGTAATCCTGACCATAATTGTTTTTTTAACTTTGAGCAGCTGTATTTTATGAAGGCAGAACTCTTGAGACAATCCCCATTAAGAATTACCATCTCCCAGAAGAGATTTATCTCACTGCTAGATTGTTGGCTCCCAAAATCTGACTGTCCAAACAATTGTACATGAAATAAAAAAACCCGGGTTATTTTGTCTGTTTGAAAGTCAGACTAAAGATTTCTTCAGATTTTGTCAACAGTGTAGCAGTTTTATATTTTGTCATTAAGATTAACTGAACATCTTTCACATTATATTGTGTGATGGCGTCCCATAACTGCCCGCATGACTTTGTTAATAATGTTTACATTTTTAGCTTACATGAGTGAAA